TTTTCCTTTTTTGGCGCATCGCATAATATTTCCGTGTGTGTATACTCGATCAGAGTAGATAGCAGTAACACTTACGGGAACCGATATACGAACCACTGGCAGTTTATTCGACATTTTCTATGACTGTTGCTCCTAGTTGGCGCACTCAGAGCTGCATCCACATAAAAGAAAAAAAATCAATTGTTGTTTTCGTTTGGTGAAATTGAATCTCTTGGCTAGTTACTTTTTACAACTGGCTCGGCCAGGCGCGGTCGTTAGTGACATCGAAACGTCAAAACGACGTTTGCAACTTTTTTGCTTCGAAAGGGAGAACGTACATCTGTACTTGGGGTTAAAACAGATCTGTCGTTTCAATACCGCTCGCTTTTTTCAAATTTTTTTCCTTATCACAGTAATGGAAATCTATTTGCCTCGAGTTATAAATAAAGATCTGATGGTTACAATTACAGCAAACGTACAGCAACTTTTTGAACATTAATGCGTGGCAGGTAAATGGTCCTAATGCTCTATACAGTTTTCATTCTCGAAATTAATCGTAAGTATCTTCTTGACCATTAGATTTAGGATCAATGTGGTTTAATATTTTTCTATGGTCCAATTAATAACAATGATCTTGGAAATTTCGAAATTCACAAAAAATTGATACACTATATTTTGCATTCCTTGAAACTATACAACTTTTGTATCAAGCAATTTTTTATTAGACGCGTAATTTAAAAGTAATTTTCAGGTGTGCAAGTTACGTGAATTTTACCCTGTATATTATGTATGTACGCGTTTGAACGTTCATCTTCACTTTCGATTTTCGGTAAAAAATTTTATTCTGAACAAGTCATTTCGAGTATCAAATATCGTGCACTGCAAGTTCGAAGAGACAGATTTGCAAAATTGCTTTCTAAAAGCTCATTTAAAAGCGAAGAGAGCTTTTAATCCTAGAGAGATTGCGTTCCTAAAAATCCCGTCGCAGGTCGAGCTTTATCTGAGAGATAAGGTAGCGTTAATTTACGTTGGCAATTTTCACATGAAAGTTATACGAATACGAAAATAATATTTAAATTTATTATGTTAAATAGACAATTCGTTTTTTCTTTCTTTACATTCTTTATATTCCTTTATATTCCTTGTTTTCAAGTTTTATACATCTCTTTCTTAATGTCTTTCTCTATTGTCAAGTACAGATATATTTCTCTCCAGTTTCCTACTGGCTGCGTTAAATTCACGTGAAATAAACGTAAATTTATTCAAGTACTATCTTCTATATGCACAACGTTTTATAAATACAAGTTAATTGCAACGAAAGTGCAAATATCTAGAAATACTTCACGATTTCTAAAAGTGACATAGCACCTCCGTTTCGGTATACAATTTAGATGTACTTTTACAAAATAATAAAAAAAAGAAGATATGCAGCAAATAAGTAAGATTTGTTCAATTAATTTATTACACTAGAGATAGGATATTTTTTAAATAAATTATAATTATAAACTTTCAACTTATCCTTGCCAGCTAACAATTTGAGGAAAAACCAACTTTTTCGTTTCTCTGTATAATGAAGAACATATCACGTGAATTTTCACTATAAGAGCAACTAACTACAAGAGAAAACGTGATTTTCACTACTACTTTAGAAACCACCTGCATTAACGCTACATGCAAGACATCTAGCATCTCGTAACTTCATAATAACTTTGCAATAATCTAATTCCGCGATAACTCCTACAAAATAAGAAAAGAGCACAATTCGAATGATTTAATGTTGTGTCACATGAAGATGAGTTCAAAATCTGATGAAATAATGACCAGATATTCACATCACTGCAAATTATGGCTCACTTAAATTTTGAAGAAAGGAAAAAATAGGAAAAAAATATGATTGATTGTTCGTTATTGATTTTAGCCTCCTAGTTAGACAAACGAATTAAAATCTCCATTTTTTTTTAATGTTGTGAAATTTTATTGCAAATGAAGAATAGAAGGTAGCTTTATTATAAAGAAATAACGCGAATAATGATGATAATAATAACCTAAACCTAATTTATTTCTCTCAATACGAATTGCTATTTATATTTGTTATATTTACAACATAAAAATTGACTCTTAATTTTTATTAACATAAGACAAAATATACGCAAGTTAAATAGGCAAATGAAACAAAATACTGTGCTTCTATAATAAACTCATTTCTCCTAATTTCTTGGACTCGCGCCACTGCTCAATTGAAGAGCTTATTTGTACCTAATTCAATCGCGAAATAAAAATTATGACAAACCAGCGGTCTTTACAAAAATCATCATGAGACCTATTGTGAGCACTGAATGTCTTCAATCTACTGCTGAGGCATATTTTCACGACGTATACAGGTTGAAAAGCGTGAAACTTTCGAAACAAACTTGCAAACCACGTACACACGCAAAGCCTTGTAATACAGTGTGAATAACGAATAATTTATTATATCGACCACTATCGAAATTTGAAAGAAACAGCATCATAATAATTCACGTGCGTGAAATTTGACAATAAAAATGATTTATCGTTGCGGCGGATAGATATATGTACTTACAGCGCAGATAATGAATAGGTTGCCGATAAGCGGCAAGCGCATTAATTCGAGAAGCGATTATATTTATTCGGAAGGGAAAATGAAATTATATATTCCACCATTTGAATATCGATCGTTGAGCATCCGTTTCGCCATGGCGAAAGAAATCTCGTGGCCAGCGATTGACATTCTCAATTTTCGGCCAACGTTCCATCGATTCAGTTATCGAGCTAATGGAGAGCGTGCTCGTAAGTCCCTTATTCCCGTCGATAAATCTATCGTCCGGCAAATATCGCCGACGGAAAAAACGACGTCGACACGCGGTCGACGGTGTCGTTAAAGCTGCATAGTTATCGCGATTACAGGCAACGATCCTCGCGTCGTTTCTATGGGTTTGTTCCGTTTGAGCATGTGCAAGAGCACGTCGTTGTCGTCGTCATATCGACGACACGAGCGTGTCGAAATCGTTTGGCTGCTCGATACAACGAGCTCCCCCGGAAATTCGTTTGAAATTTAAATCGCGCAGCTAACATGCAAATCGGGGGTGCCATCAAGAAGCGATACGTCGCGTCGCGGTGACGATTTGTAATAACACGACGCGGCAGCTGGAAATTTCGCTTCTTCAATGTCTCACTGATTGCTTCGCGACTTTGTCAATTTTCTTTTTTAATTGAAGATTTCTCGAGGATCCCACTAGCAGGAGAGATTTGTCGATTTTAACGAGTGAAAATGTAGAACAGAACAGAGTAGGAATATTGAAGGTTATTTTCCAATAAAATTCAACGTTCGGAAATCTTTATTAAAGCTTCTGTTTGTTTCCTTTAGTTTATACGAGGTGTGAATTTTCGACTGGTTATAATTTCTGGAAATTTCGCTCGTTCTTCGAACGTTTCACAGATTACTTCGTGATTTCGTCAACTTTTTCAGTTGATTCGATTTTTTAATTCTACTAACGAGATAAATTTGTCAATGTCAATGCGTAAGACACGAACCTAGACGGAATAGGAATTTTTAAATAGGTTATTTTGGATAAATTCTTTTTTTTTTTTAATTATAAAGGCTCTCGTTTGCACGATGATCATATGATAAATGATATAGTTATGAGAGGTTATAATTTTTGGATACGTATTTTCAATTTTGATTAAATTCTAATTTTTTGGAATCGTTACGCTTTTATGGTAACTGAACGCAATAACATAATCAACGTTATTTCCGCACGAGGTATAATTGTTTTGATATTATAATTATAAATTTCAAAGACTGGTAATATGTAATTAAAATTCCTAAAATAATAAATGATCGAAAGTTCCAGAAAATGTTTCTCAATCAATATTTTAATTTTATTCTATTCTCGGTAAAGGAATTTAAAAAAAAAAGAACTCGAAAAGAGATGACGTTTTAAACGTACTACGAAAGTTTTTAGAAGGAAACCTTTTTACTTCTCGAGTAGTACAACTACTATGAAAATGAGGACAATGCCAGAAGAACCACAGTTGGAAAAACTGAAGTCACAATTACAGCTCGAATAAAAACCAAGCACGTGCATCTTACTTCTCTTTTACTCCTCTTCTAAATTAGCTTGTTTAATTTTACTCCATCTTGAATCATATATCATCGTTTCTCTGGTTCTGACGTTCTAAGTTTATCTCAGAAATTATCAACCACTTTCTTTTAATCATTTTTTGATAACTTCTAATTAGTTGGTGCTTCTAATTAATTCAACTAAATTTAAATATAACGAGTCGATTCGATTAAATTGTTTCGACAGTGATTATTCGTTCGTGATTGTTGGATAATAATTTATTTGGAATACGTTAAAACTCTCGGTTTATTTGATAAAAATTCGCAAAAATTGTGTTAAATTGTATCCAAGTGAAAAAAAAAATTACTGTTACGTAAAAATTATCAAGCTCCCCGGAAGAAAATTTTTCTCCATCACATTCTCAAAAATACAAATACACTTACAGTACGTAGATAGAACAAAGAAGATCGTTATCAACTTGGAAAACCGAGCAATCAATAATCGACAAAAACAATCTAAAATCTATTAACCTAATACTGTCCAAGCAAATGTCTAAAGTTTAACGACCGTCCTCCATTCTCCTGTCAGGAATGAGAGACACAATAATAAAGAGCCACTGGCTGATACTGTATCACAAATGAAACTCATTTATCAGTAAACATAATTGTCTCTGGACTAAAACTCAATATCAGCACATTGGTAAAACACACGCGCAGCGAACTTCATATCCAGTCCAGTTGAATTCCAATATTCAATTCAGTTTTTACCTTATCCGCGATATATATAATGCACGTATCCTGAAATGGATATCTCGCATTTAGAGATATAGCATTAAGAAAAGAAGCGCGTATTCGAAAATTTTTTTATCGTTGAAAGGATTGCCCGCGTAATTAGGATACATAGCACTGTCGATATAACAAATGGGAAATGATCACGAACCTTGAAGCCAGTAAGGAACGTCGCGGGGTCAGAGGGGGTCCGGGCCGAGGACGCCTGATTGGTGGCCCCGTAACTCAACTGATGCTGATAGTTGGAAAGGATCTTTTTGTGGGCACTGGCCTGAGCTCTATAAGCCGACACTGATAACTTCATTTCTTCGTGTTCCCGATAAAGGGTCCGATTCTCCCGATGCTCCAGCCGGGGTACATCCTCGTTCCTTCTCGTAGCGAACGCTAAGCCTTCTTAAAGAGGCCGCCACACGCGGCCGGATAGCTACGATGAAAATCCGTGGGAAAGGGGATGAAAGCGGCTACCGTTACCGCGTTTCACCACTTATCCGCTTCCTCTGTCCACGATTCTGCTCGATCTTACCGCTCGATCACCCGTTGTTTACCTTTTATTTCCACGAATTCCTTCTTTCGATATCCTTTGGCGTTCCTCTACCCTTTGTAACCGATTCTCACCGACGTTTACCAAACGAGAGTATCGTTATTAAGCTCGAATGCTCCAATCTTGCCCCTTCGCTTTGGTATTCATCGTTTCGTTAAACAACGAGATCTGAGAGGAAGTTTCCATCGATCGCTGGAATGGAAGTGGCCGAACGGCACACGAAGATGCTTCACGGGGATAATTTGCCGAGGAATTTTCTTCTCTTCGCGACGTAATTTATGTCTGTTTAACGGGTCGGTTGTTACGAATTCTCTCGCCGTGCCTCGGAGTAAAAGAGTATATATACACGGAACAGTGAAATATTTCTCTCTATCACCGTTCGTCAACGATGATTTCCCGCGAGAGTGGGAAATACAAGGATACGTGACCCTTCGGCTCCCCTTGTCCCTTTCGCGCGCTGTTCCTCCCGCGTTTCGATGCTCCTCTCGATATATATTCGTTTATTCTCTCGAGCGAAATAGTTCCGCAGCGAGGCTCCTCGAAGGAGGACAGACTCAGCCCGATTGCCCGGACCTTCTCTTTTCAAGGGCCGTATCGAGGATTAAACATCTTACGATCCTAGGATAGGAAAGTGTATCGATCGCGTGAATAATCCTTCTTTCGTTCGCTCGTCCACGTTCGCCTTCATACCCGGTTACCAGCAGTTTAACGTAACAACACGCCTGCTTCTCTTGCTGGACCTTTTTCTAATCGAAGGATCTCCCACGGCGTAAACAGACCACTGACTCCGTTGATAACTTCAAATTCCTTAAACTCTTTCAACGATCAACGTCTTGTATTCGATAATGTTCTAACACGGCAACACGGACGAAACACGTGTCAGTTTCTCGTCATCTCTTCACGTGGAGCATCCCCATTTTCGACGAAGGAACTAAACACCCTCGGTCCCCTTGTCTCTTTCCTCTCTATCAAAAATTAGAATTTCATTAGTCCCACTAACAATTACGATAACGACGAGTCATAGGAACAACAAACGCCTTGAATGTCGTCTGATCGGTCGTCCTTTGAACGCCTTTCTCCTACTCCTTTTTATTCTTCGTCGATTGAAGCTATAAGGCCACGTGCCGTTATTCATTAAAAGTCGAGCGGGTAAGACGCCGCGAGAAAAGCGTGTCTCCACGACCGAGAGACCGTGACAAGGATATCTACGTCCCCTTGTCGCCCCCTCGTCGTGCGTCTCTTCGTTTGGACGACTTCCACGTACTTCGTAGCTGCGCGCCGCTCTAGCGTCCCGTGTGATCGATTCTACGCCAGTCACCGTGGCACCGAAACGCGTAAAAGATCGAGCATGATGTTCGATCAGTCCTCGAAGAACCATTGGACACGCCGAACTCGATCCACGGCTTCCGAGCAAGAGGGCTGGACTCTCTACGACGATCTTCGAACGTCGTGTTCTTTTATGCTTCGATCGTGATCCTGCGATCAGGCTCAACTGATCGCGAGAACAGAGTCATTTTCTTCATGGTGCGATAAATTTCTCGGATTTGCTCGTTCCGACGGTTGTTCGTTGTTCTTCGACGAACACTTTCACCGATGAAACCGAATGATTTTCTTCCAGAGTATCCGGATCTTGATCGCGACACTTTGCGTGGTTGTTAATGATCACAGCACGAGCAACAAGGTGATTCACTTGATCTAAACGTGACCAAACGTGCTTGTCGGAACAAAAAACGGATGCAGAATGTAGAAAAAGGAGAGCTGTCGATGATCGCACCGGTGCAAATATTCTTCCAGTTGGTGGAACGACGAACGACGAGGCCAGATCACCTGGAAACGCGTGGGATTTGTCGCCGCGTCACGAAGAGCCTGATCGAATCGAAGAAACACGTGTCACCGTAGGCAAAACGCTTCTCGAAGGCTTCGCGAACCGATGAGTTTCGCAGCAGCGGAACATTAAGACGCGTCTGCAGCCAACCGATTCTATCGATTCTCGCGACCTCGTCATTCTCGACGAAGCGCGACGCTGCACCGAGGAACCACCATCGCCCGAATTCGGATCCTATCTCCGGATCGACGCTCTGATCTTCGACATCACATTGTCACAGGTCTGTGCAATCAACGGATTAACAAAGTTGGCGTTATCAAAGGACACGAGACACGAGGAGACGTGAAACGAGACGGAGGAAGAGAGAGAGAGAGAGAGACACTGGCCACGGCTTCGCCATTTGCTTCGCCAACAATGGACACTGGCACTCGATGGAAGATCAAAGCGTCGGCCGGAACGCGGCAAACGTCAGTAACCAACCGTGTAATCCGCTTAACCAAGGAAAATAGTCGCGTTCATCGAAACGTCGAAAAATCAAATCGTTGGTGACGAGCTCTCTTCTCGATTCGTCCTTCTTTTCTCTCGTTTTTGTTCTCGCGCGACCGTTTACGATCTGCAAACGATCGGCCGAAACGTAAACGATAAACGACGGCATAAACCGGAGAAGCGAACTCGGTCGGAACGTTAGCAAACCGCAACGCGTTGCGTCCGTAGCTCGAGCATAACTGGATTACCGCTACCAACGACACCGTTCATCGAGACATCGACTAACCACCACGAGGTTCGGGCTGTACGTTCTATATTCACCCTTCGTTATAAGTGGATTAAATATTATCATAAACTGCGCGCGACCTGGCGAACGTGCCACCTACGCCGGTTTCTGTCTCTCGCATGATTCGTGTCACCGCTCGGTCCTTGAATCGTTTCCAATTTTCTATTTCTCTGTTCGTTGTTTCGCGTTGGTTTGCAACGGAGGGGGCAGTTGACAACGGGGGAACATTGACGAGAAGATTCGAAGATGGTCATCGCTTTCCTCGAATTCGGTGGCTATTGGTTTATGGTTAATTGAATTTGAAGATTGTCAGGTGTGGGACTAACTGAATAATCATATTATAAATCTATGTATATTAATCGGAACGAACGACTGAAGATGGACAAGGCTGCGCGTAATTCTGGGATCTACGAGCGAAAATAAGAAAAACACGTTGCGCTAATTTAAACGCGTTGTTACAAAATTTTAGACGTAATCTTAAACGTAAAATATAATCTCTTGCCACGCGTGTCGAGAATTTTTTGCAATATTTTCTCAGTTTTAAGTATGTTTAAGTATAACCCAGGCGAAAAAAAATAATAAATTTATTACTTCTCAATAATTTCTATCCAGTGATGTTATATCGATGAGTTGAAAAGAAAAACGACGAATTATTATATACGGTTTGGTCACTCGTTATGGTCCGCAATCAGTTGCCAGCGCAAGTGGTTGAGAACGCTCAGTTATAAAATTAAACAACGATTGAACGTGATATGAAATGTACATGTACTTTGACGAAAACGTGATAAAACGTGAAAAGTAATGTGGTACAATAAGAATGTACCTTTTTTGCAGAACATACATAAAAAGTTTGTTATCTATTATTTAAAACTCAGTCGTTCGTAATTTGAAGACAGCAAGTAATGGGAAATTTTTAACTTTAGACCCAAATGAGAAATTTCAAATATGTCTCAAACATTTCAAATAAATCGTTACTTGCATTATTTACAATGAAATGAAACTTCGTCAAAATAAAATCAATCTACAATCAAACGACAAGAAGCATTCTAATTTCCCCTGAAACCTATATCTACAATGTGGGAAAAACCACATTTGTATGCACGATATCGAATGCACAAAGATGATTCATTGAACCTCCGATGTCATCTTGATTTATCGTACTTGTAGATAATGCCGAAATTAGAATTAAAATGTAATGCAAACAAAACGCGAATATTCTTTCATTTCGTATGAAATTACCTCGTACAAATTGGAAAATTCATTCCATTTCAACTTTCCTTTAAAGGCAAGAATCGAAGAACTCTTTACCGAACTACCCTTTTACCAGTTGTACGCTTTCAACCAACTCGAATCACCATTTCTTTCCGACGATAAAATAGAATCTTACGGAGTCGACCTAAAAAAATATTGTTCCAACCACCGGTGGAATAATTCTCGTCTACGCTAAGATCCCTTGGATGAACACAGAAACACGTTTTGCGTATATCCTCGACTAAAACTACGATTCTCGATTCATTTAACGATCACAATTATTTCCTAAGCAAGTACGTCCTTCTCATTTGGCAGCTTGGCTAACACTGTTTAACGAGCACATACTGTAATGCATAAGTACACGGTGTACGTGTAAACTGAAATGTGCAAGAGAGAGAGAGAGAGAGAGAGAAAATGACAGTGAGAAACAGCATAACCTACTCGTCAAATACGTCGCCCATTATACGTTGACTGCACTGCTGTCTCTCTCACCACTTTCGAGCCCTTTCCCATCTTTCCAGCGACGCTCTTCTACAAACACCAAGCTGACTGTCATTCGACGCATCGATCATTCCAATTGGTCATTACGAACGATCGAAAGGGACAGTGAACGCGGGCCATCGAGCGATGCCACCCTTTCGTCAATTTTACATGCACCTATGTCGAACATCGAATATTGTCGATTGATGTTTCTAAAAAAAAAAAAAAAAAAAAAATGAAGAACGTACAAACTGGAGCAAATTTTTATTTCGATCTCCTTGGAGGTTTAAAACGTCGAAACTTTGTGTAACTTTTCCTGCGGAAGAAGGAAATAATATAACAATACAGCGGACGCTGCAGCGAGAAATTAATTTTTCGGAAATATCGAGAGCCAAGTTGTGCGCAAATTAATTGAGAAGAAAACTAGATGCATTGATATAATTATAAATTCTAAAATGAAGAATATAGTCAATGTCTTACAAAGAACGAGTTCCGAACGACTTTGACGTTTGAGTAGATATAGAAGAAATTTGTAATGTAATTCTACGAGACAGGACGAGTCATCGGAATCGAAACACGAGGACATCAATGTACAAATTGCGTATCACGAGTGAGAGATGAATGTTCGTATAAATTCCGACGCGCCGATCGAGCTTCGATTTTTAACGTTAAATAATCGGAAAGACGTATTAGAAGGCCAACAGCTCGGAGAATCTCTCGTCAGCACTTCT